GAAATTCTGACATCTTTTCTCAGAATTGTGAGATATAAACTCGCAATTGCGAGTTATCAGGCCAATTCTAAGGGGGAAAAAGACTAACTTTTTTTCCCCTCAGAATAGTTTATATCTCACAATTCTGACTTTACAACACGCAATTTCGACTTTATATCATGCATTTCTGACTTTATAACACGCAATTGCGACTTTATATCAATCAATTCTGACTTTATATCTCACAATTCTGACTTTATATCTCGCAATTCTGACTTTATAACACGCAATTGCGACTTTATATCAATAAATTCTGACTTTATATCTCGCAATTCTGACTTTATAACACGCAATTGCGACTTTATATCAATAAATTCTGACATTATATCTCGCAATTCTGACTTTATAACACGCAATTGCGATTTTATATCACGCAATTCTGACTTTATATCTTTTTATCTCGCAATTCTGACTTTAGCCGTCAATTCTGACTTTAGCCGTAAAGTCAAATTTGACTTTAGTTTACATCTCGCAATTCTGAGAAAAAAAGTCAGAATTGTGAGATAAAAAGTCGCAATTACCTTTTTTATTTTTCATTCTGTGGCGGAAACAAGCTTCCATACTGCTGTCATTTTTGTTGTGTGTATTTGTTATTGAGAGGAAAGCGCACAGCACTTGTACACGTGCACTCACGCAAACACGAGCAGTTGCTGGCTGCAGTTCAACGGCTAATAACATGATCTGAATTCTACATATAGCCCCTTTAATATTGATTATTGTTCATGTTTAGTAATATTCACAGTAAAATAGCTAACCTGGCTTGTGTGTTTATCTTGCAGCAAGGCATGAATAAGAAGTCCTTTGTGAATGACATAACGTCGGCAGCTATCAAGTCTTTTCAGGTGGTCGACTGAGATGCACTTTACAAACAAACGGCATTTGAATTGCATTGCATTGTAATGTCGTTTAAGAACCCGAAATGTCTTTTATTGTTTGTTGTTAATTGAATGAATTATGTTGTTTATTCTGTTTTCGCCATGAAAATAGCCTTGTTGCTGACATGGAGTAAATAAATGAATATTTTCATTTAAGTATTGCAGAAGAAATGGTAAGAATGAGCTTTAATTTCTTTTGGGGCAGTAGATGCTTTTTGTTAAGAACAATGCATGACAAATGCAATGACAAAAACTGTTGTTTTGTCTTCATTTTGACACAAATTGTTTTCATGTCTGTAGTATTTTCGTTCAGTTATGCAGTTTTTATATTGTTAAATACTCCATTGTTTATCTTTAATATGTTCTAAAATGCAAATGATTTTGAAAGACATTTTATCAGAGTGTTACAGGTTGTGCAAGTTCATGATATCATATGTCATATAATTATATTATATTTTATACATCAAGTTATATATATCTGGCAATATAAATATATATCGAGGCGTCTCTTTGGCTCATTTTGACGTCTGTTCATCATTACAAATATTGTGGTTGTTCTGTTAAGGGTGTGGATAAATTTGTCATGTTTTTCAGCTCACATTGACTTCAAAGTTTCAATAAAGTTTTCAACAGTACCATGTCTCTGTCACACTTTACTGTTAAATATTTATAACTTTTACAGAATCACAATTTCATCCATGCAAAAAGAAAGGCGAATAGAATAGATTTAACACTGGGACATCCTAAAGCACACGCTGTTAGTCCAAAAAAAACTGATTTATTGTAACATCTGTACTTCCTGGTAATATTTGATTAACCATTTATGGTCGTGCTTTCAATGCTCTGAAAATGCATGCCACCTCAGCTTTTTTTTTCAATTATATCTTTACTTTCACATTATGTATATGATTCATTAAAGGGATAGTTCACTTTGAAATGAATTTTTGGTATGTTTTAGCTTACCTCAAGGGCATCCAAGATGTAGGTGTCTTTGTTTCCGCAGTAGTTTCAATTTTGATATTGTTAGGTCAAACCGTTCTTGTCTGTCAGTCATATAATGCAGGTCTATGGTCACCACCTCAAAGAGCATGCACAGAGAAGTCCAAATTCAACATGATTTAATGACTCGTAAATGTAAGTACACATTGATGGCCTGAGACACGAAACGAGCGGTTTGTGTGAGAAAACGAACAGTATTTATATCGTTTTTACCTCTTGTAACCACAGCCACGTCCAAGTGATCTGAGGGCGCCGGCGCTTCGGTCTGGAAGTGATCTCTCGCGCGTGTACGTCACTCATTGTTTACACAAGAGATTTCGGAAGTGTTACCTTTCACTGTGAAGATCTAAACATATTTAGATATACAGGAAATCACATTGGAAGACGATTTCGATATATCAACAGACAAAGTAGAATTTTTTTCGCAACCGCGCGAGAGATCACTTCCGGCGCTTGCGTAGACCGAAGCGCCGGCGCCCTCAGATCACTTGGACGTGGCTGTGGTTACAAGAGGTAAAAACGATATAAATACTGTTCGTTTTCTCACACAAACCGCTCGTTTCGTGTCTTAGGCCATCAATGTGTACTTACATTTACGAGTCATTAAATCATGTTTAATTTGGACTTCTCTGTGCATGCTCTTTGAGGTGGTGACCATGGACCTGCATTATATGACTGACAGACAAGAACGGTTTGACCTAAAAATATCAAAATTGAAACTACTGCGGAAACAAAGACACCTACATCTTGGATGCCCTTGAGGTAAGCTAAAACATACCAAAAATTAATTTCAAAGTCAACTATCCCTTTAACATTAAATCAACAAAAAGATCATACATTATAGCTGATAGCACATCATGGCACTTTGCATATAATTAACATTGAAAAGAGTCATTAATAGCATATTAATATGACAAATGTGGACTGTTATTTATTAGTCACTTACAATCCAACTTCACTCGGTTCATTCTTTTCAGACTGCTGATTTTATTCTTTGTAGCTCTTTAATTATATTTAAACGTATTATCAATGCAAATGATGTTGTAGAGTTGGCTGGCGTCTCTGCATGCGGAGCTGCATTATTTTCTTAGTCCTCTCTTAGTCCTGGATCCTTTTGTACTAAGGGGGGGGAAAAAACAAATGCATTATTTATTGTTAAAATTTTTAATGCATTTGTAATAACCAGTGTGTAAATTATCAATGCAGAATTATATGGTTGCATTTTATTATTTTCATCTAGCATTGTTTTTCAGATCAGAATAGACCTGTGACCTATTTTTGGGTCGAGATCTACAAGGTCACAAAGAATAAAACAGTTATTTGTTAAACTTAAAAAAGATTCTTCAGATGTTTCAGCCTCAGTCTTTTGGATCCATGTGTTTATTTGCAAGAATGTAGCATGACCTAATATACAGCAATGCCAGTAGTACATTAGGTGTTAACAAAATCCATGTATTTATACCAGCATCAGTGTTATTTTGCAGCAGCTGTATACTGTATCTCTGGCAGTAGCGGGGTCCGACCGGATTCCTCTAGCGCTTAGAGCAGGATCTCCCAGGAGCCCCGGGTCTGTCTGACCCCCTTTAACCCTTGAACAGCTGCCGGATCTGTCATACTCATGCTCATGCTCTTCCTCGTGCCAGTCCGGCAATAACAGAGCTATTAAATGCGCTGACATGACATGTGGATAAGTGGAACAGAATTCGCAGCATCATAACTGGAGACTGTAGAGATATAAACTTGCTGTTATCTGCAACGATCCTTTGTTAGACACCTGGTATTCCCACAGTTGAGGCCGGTAGAACCTCCCAGCGGTATTAAAGCTGAGCTCATTTCAGTACCGGTCAGATTAGCCATAACTCGGCAAGTCTATACAGATTTGGCATGAGTCAAGCAGGAGTCATGTGTTTTTGGCGTGAGATATATCACCTATCCGAGACACGAGAGAACACTGGGTTGGACTGAGGCTTTGTTAAGTCCTCTGAATGATGGGATCGACTGCTGGTTTGTAATTTTATGTTAATAGTCGTCTATAATTACACTACGTGACTTGCACACGGTTTAGTGTAGAGCAGCTGTCCACATGCTTGCAAAACGAGTCTTATACCCCCAAATAAATTTTAGTATCATGCATTAAATTCTGTTATTTTTGTTGCATGTCATCAGATTGATTTAATAATATTAAATTATACCCTATATTGCTTAAATTAAACAAGTTATCTGACAATACAATATATATTTTTGTTATATTTTGCATAATAATATATCATTTGGTCACTAGCATGATGGTAATACCACAGTATTCTTTAAAGTATCTTAACAGTGCAATTTATACGGATGCGTATTGTATTCACTTGAGGACAAAAAATCTACTCTGTTTTTCTGAATTAACAAATTAATATCTCAGAATTACGAGATATTTTTTCATGGAAAAAAAGTTTTTGCTCTGAATTAACGAGTTAATTATCTCAGAATTATGAGATACATTTTTCTTGAAAAAAAGTTTTTGCTCTGTTTTTCTGAATTACGAGTTAATTATCTCAGAATTATGAGATACATTTTTCTTGAAAAAAAGTTTTTGCTCTGTTTTTCTGAATTAACGGGTTAATTATCTCAGAATTATGAGATACGTTTTTCTTGAAAAACATTTTTTCACTCTGCTTTTATGAATTAATGAGTTACTCATAATTTTGAGATAATTAAGTCATTAATTCAGAAAAACAGAGCAAAAACTTTTTTCCATGAAAAATTCTCTCGTAATTCTGAGATAATTAACTCGTTAATTCAGAAAAACAGAGTAGATTTTTTTCCTCAAGTGAAAGCAATACGCTTCCGTAAATATAAATATGAGCATTCAATATATTTGTTTGTACCTGATTATTTGCCAGATAATTCAATTATGTTTGTTGCATTATATTAATGTCATCAGAATGATTCATTAATGTTAAATAATATATTTTTTTACTTGAATTAAACAAGTTGTTTTAGATTAATATAACCTGACACATTTTTGTTATATAAAATATGATAATACCATGTTTTGGACACTAGCATGATGTAATACCGTATTAGTGCAATTTATGATATATAAATATGATCATTCAGTGTAATTGTTTGTATCTGATTATTTTCATGATTATTAAATAATTTTTTGCATAAATTTAATTTCATTGGATTGATTCAGTTTGACTTGAACTTACCAGTTATTTTAGATGAATATACTTTTAAGTTGACGAAAAAATAGTGTATATTTTGCATACAAATATATATTATATAAAAACTTGTTTCCTCCATGGAATGAAGAATTAAAAAGGAATTGCTACTTTTATCTTACAATTCTGATTTCTTTTCTCTTAAAGTGCACGTTTATGTTTCATAATTCTGACTCTTGACAAACAATTCTCACAATTCTGACTCACAATTGAGAAGAAAGGCAGAATTGTGAGTTATAAACCTGCAAATATGAGGGGAAAAAGTCAGAATTGTGAGATAAAAAAATTATGATTAACTTTTTAAGCTCCCATTTAATACCATGTTTTGGAATGGTAATAACATGTTATCCTTTCAATGCCATATGATCCTTCAGTAAAAAGGCGTATCAAAATACCAGCATATCACCATCTGATCCTCTCATTGAACCGTGGTACTTATGTGTACATCGCATGTACACAATGCGTCATCTGTCTGTTTTTTGTTTGTTTTGTACAGCAGCAACTGTTATTTTACACAGAAAGTTCTGGAAACACGATGCTATGCTAGATTATCTTAGCGGCATTACGCATCTTAGCTAGGTCTTTACCAAGGCCTGTCACTGAGGTCAATATGTTATTTTAGGACTATTATTCATCATTCGGTAACATGTTTTCTTGTGCAACAGTTGCTTGATATTTAACACCTGTGGGGGGCTGGACAGGTTGAATGTGGCTGTATTGCCAAAAGAAGAATATCAGAACAATCTAACTGAACCGTCATCATAAGGTCATGCTTGATTTACTCCTGTGGTGAATCATCATTTATGGATCATTGCACTATATGAGGTATATGTTTAAAAATACGAATGCACACTACTATCAATAAGTTTGGGGTCAGTACGATTTTTTTAAAAGAAATGAATAGTGTCATTCATCAAGGATGCATAAAAGTGACAGCAAAGCCATTTATAATGTTACAAAAGATTTCTATTTCAAATAAAAGCTGTACATTTGAACTTTCTTTTCATCAAAGAATCTTGAAAAAAATGCATGATGGTTTCAACAAAAATTTGAAGCAACTGTTTTCAACACTGATAATAATGTTTCTTTTTAGCAAATCATCATATTAGAGTGATTTCTGAAGGATCATGTGACACTGAAGACTGGAGTAATGATGCTGAAAATTCAGCTTTGATCACTGGTATAAATTACTTTTTAAAATAAATTAAAACAGAAAACACTTATTTTAAATAGTAATAATATTTCATAATTTTACAGTTTTTACTGTATTTTTTGATCAAATAAATGAATCTTTAGTGAGACTCTTTTACTAGTCTTTACTAGTGCAAAGTTCAGTAACGCTTTAGATTACAGCCCGACTGTGTAATTAAAGCGATTTTACAGTTTAACTTTCGGTAATTATAGTGTACCTATAACGTACACACAATATAAGTATAAGGGAACAATATTTTAAGTTTGGGGAATAAAGGGGTAACAACCAGGAGAATTAAAAAAATATTTATACTGTAAGTATAGAACTAAGGGGTACTTATTCTACTATTATGATATAACAATCTTACATTTGGGAGCAATTTAGCAAGAACATACCTTTTTGAAATAATGGTGAACCAGTACATACTGTATAGGCTTTTTAAAAATTACAGGGTACATATCTATGCATTTATAAAGTAATCTTTTTAACAAAAGTGCACTGAAAACGAAAACTATTGCAACATTTGCCCAAATATTGGGGAAAGATACTCTTGTTTCATGTAGTGGTGCTTGTTACCCTCTTGTTCCATGTAGTTACAGGGTAAGTACAATAAAAATGCATACACACAATCTTATATCACTGACTCGGAAACCTTTATTTATTATACAAGCACCACTTACCCTGTAACCACATGAAACCAGATATATTTCCCAGTATTTAAAAAAATTGCAATAGTCTTAGCTTTTCTTGCCTTGAAACATGTTAGCCCAAACTTAAACATCTGCACTTTTGCTATCAAAAAACATATTTTTTTTATTTTTATAAATGCATAGATATGTACCCTGTCATTTTTAAAAAAGCCTATACAGTATGTATTGGTACACAATTATTACAAAAAGGTACGCAGTGTATGTTCTCGCTAAAATGCTCCCAAATTGTTAATAGTAGAATAAGTTCCCCTTAGGTCTATAATACTTACAGTATAAATATTTTTTTAATTCTCCTGGTTGTTACCCCTTTATTCCCCAAACTTTACATATTGTTCCCTTATACTTACATGCAAGTACTTTATACTATAATTACCGCAAGTTACACTGTAAATTCCTCTTAATTACACAGTACTTTCCGGGCTGTAATCTAAAGCGTTACCCAAAGTTCTTCTAACTTTAATCATCATATTTCTGTAATTAGGCCTGGTGTCTGACACGGGCCGTTTTTTAATAGGTCATGTGAACAACCTCACCAAAATAAAGTAGCAAATCTAAACTGGGCATTTTCATTTGTGGTGTGATAGCGTTTGATAATGCATGGAGAAATCAGCTCATATCACAGCCACTTACATTTTCTGATGGTCACTGACTCGATTCCTGAGAACGGTGATCTATAAGACAAAAAAAAAAAAATCACACGTATGAATCAATCTCGGTGAATCATTGCCGTAAAACTTCTCCTTCTCATGTCAATCAAACTGAGCCTCTGGGAACCGGCCCGCATGATTGTTCTGTCGAGTCTGTGCTGGGTGTGACCGCATGTGTAATTGATGGATGTATGACATGTCTTAAACGTCCTGTCCTTACGTTGTGACTTTCCTCTCTAACATCCTGATCTGGTGACGCAAGAAACTGGCACTCTGTGTGTAAGAAACCTCACCTCGTACTTCTGGCACATGTATTTGTATTGCAGCTCAAACTTCTCGGCTTCAAGCTGGCGCATCCACGTCCAGAGTTCATTCGCAGCGTCTCTGCATGAAAACCCACATGAGAACATGATTAACCAGTCTCTGAATAAGAAGCAACAGCCTGTGGCTTCATGTCACGGTGCTTGTTAAAGCTACCTCGCTATGTTTCATGCTGGCAGAGGTAATTGACGTTGTGTTTTGATACGTTTTTTTTTACCTCAGCTTGTCGGCGCCGATGTTTTCCACGTTCAGTTCCTTGCGCCGTTCGCTCAGGATAGTTTTTTTCTTCTCTCTCTCAGTTTGCTTCTTAGGCCCGCCCCTTTTATCTGTCTGTCAATCAAATCCGAACAGGACATGAGCATTGGTGACCTGATCACTGTGACCTTTGACCTCTGGCTTGCCTTACCCTCTGCATGTATCCCGTGTACTGAAAGCTTGCGAGAACCTTTTTCTTCTTAGCGTCATCATCAGCCTTCCTCTTGGCCTCTTCCTCCTCTTTTCGTGCCTTTTCTTCCTGAAATAAATAAATGACTAATCACATAAGCGACTGTTTCTTCCTACAGGATCGCCGTGACGTCCTCTTGAAGAGACTTACGGCTAGTTTGTTTTGCCGCTCTTTGTCCCGCTCTGTCCGGATCCGGTGCTGCTCCGCTCGCTCGGCCCTGCGGTTCTCCTGATGATCACAACACACACATGATCCACTAATGATGCAAAGCTTCAGTGTCACATGATCCTTCAGAAATCACTCTAATATGGTGATTTGCTGCTCAATAAACATTTCTGATTATTATCAGTGTTGAAAACAGTTGAGCTGCTTCGTATTTTTTAGGAAACTGTGATACTTGATGAATAGAAAGTTCAAAAGAGCATTGATTTGAAATGGAAACTTTTTGAAACATTATAAATGTCTTTACGGTCACTGTTGATCAATTTAATGCATCATTGCTGAATAAAAAGTGTTTTTGCAAGATTGGTCAAATTGAATGGTAGTGTATCACGTTTATTTTAAGTGGATCCGGAATGGGATCTGGAATCTATTTGGTGATAATCTATATCACGTTTTATCACATACCCTCACATTAATGAAATAATCTTTCTTACTTGCAAAATAATGTTATTTATGCATTAATTTCCAGGAGACTCGCATATAATTTGATATAGTTTTCTAAGACACTCATTCATAATTTCATTTAAATTAAATCCAAATTGTAGTATATTTTGCTTTGTTGTTGTTGTTGTTTTTAATTTGGTAAAATATGAAGTACTTTTGGATGTACTTTCAGTTTTTGATTGTTTTCTGTACAGAAGTTTATGGAGTCCTGCCTTTATTTGAATGTATCTACTGTATTTATTTAGTTTTCTAGGTTGTAGTGGACAGTCTGGTTCTGTGAGGATAATCCCAGTCCTGCTGGAAAGAGCAGAGTAAGGCTAGTTTGAGTTTCCATACCGGTTAGAGCTGGTTTGTTGCTAGTCCAGCCGGTGGACCAGTATAACTCACTGTTTACCAACAAACCCTACTGGTCATGTCTTTCAGCAGGGTCATTTCACTTGTCTTATCGTGCTTGCAGTGGTAGGGTATTTAATTATTAATAGTAAAATGTCTTACAATCCGTTGGGTGAGGTTGATTAGCTCTTCTTCTTCTTTCTTTCTGCTCTCGAAGTGCACTTCAATAAGAGTCTGCAGCTCCGTCAGGTCTTTCTCCATACGTTTGCGGTGAATATCCTAAGGATACGTTTTTAAAGGTAATTGTAATAATGTACAATGCAGTAAAAACTACTTATGGCACATGTTTTATGGCAGTGTTACTAAAATCTACAGGTCATATTACATTGTTTAATTTAATAACTGAAAGTTCAGTGTGATTTATTGGTATGACAGTAAACGTATGTTCGTATTGCGAAAGTATTTGCTGCCAAAGCTGCTAGACAGAGCAAACAAAAGAATGAAATGTCATTTGAGTAGACATGTTTATACTTAAATTAATGGGGTAATGTGGTGTAATATAATATACCACTAAAGAATAATAATAAAATAAAATGTAAAATAAAATAAATAAATAAAATCTGAAATAATTAAATTAATAACATAAAAATAATAAATAAAATAGAGATACAAATAAAAAATAATAAAAATAAAATATAATATAAAAAATGTACTCACATCAAAATCAACTTTCTCTCCATCAGGAATTTTGGGAGGCACTAACGCTGGCACAAAGGGTCTTAAAATCAACAACAATGCATTAGTTGTTTTTTTTTCTCATAAAACGGTCTTTTATTTGGGAATTTTTGGTTATATTATAGTTAGGCTATGTATCATGCTGAGTGGTAAGCAACATGCACACACAAGAAAATACTAGAATACGTCTTAAATTAATCACAAGGGACAAATTACACTAAACAAATGCAACTAAACTACACACAGGTGCAAATCATAACCATGAAAACAAACAGGGACACAATCAGTAACCTAGGAGACAGATAAGCGGGAACATAGGGAACAATGGAAACAGGAACAGAACACAGGGAAACAATGTGAAACAAACTAAAAGTCCATGTAAAAATAACATAAACCTGCAATTATGTGTCCTTTTATTTTATATTAATTTATATTTGCAAATTCCACTCACTTATGCTTTGGCTTTGTTTCTTCTGTACCGTTCAGTTTGCAGAAAGGGAAAGGGGAGAAATATGGATTTATGAAAACACTTGCATACTAGCAATGTTGGTGGTTTAGTTCATAGCTCATCGGGGCCCAGTTTCAATTGTAAAACCAGTTTTGAATGAGTCTGATGGTATCGGGTTTACCTTCCTCTCCATGTTCCTCCGCCGCATCTAAATAAGAAAAGACAGCATGTCACCTGACAGCAGTGTGGTAATCCACAGAGACACGGAGAAAGCCCTGGAGACACGTTTCTTATCAGACACGGGAATCTGGACTAAAAGCTATTTTGTTTAAGAACATCCGGGTGGTCACCTTTCAACTCTCTAACACAAAGTGTGCATATTTACGACTTCTTATAATAAATACAAATAGCATATATTTCAGAGAGGTCAACGTTGCTTTGGGGTCAGTTTGACCCAGGAGGGTTTTAGATATGATGGATTGGTCCATTAAGCCCACAATAGCCGACATTGTTCGAAACTTCATCCCAAATGTGTCACACTTGGTTTAATCAGAGACTTTGTGAAAGTATAATTATTGGGTGTTGTTTAGAAGCACTTGCTGAATAATCCTGTATTATTGAATTTGTTTTACCTGCATGATGTGGATTGGGTGTTTGCTTCCCAGCGGCCTCTACAAGCCCTACAAATGAACGCATAAACAGTGATTTATCCGAAAACACGTTGTTTTGAAGACTTGTGTGTCTTTCCTTTGAATCATTATACGTGATTTGTGTGCATTATATATAATTATTAACTTTAAGTAATTATATAGTAGCCTACTTATATAAAAAAAATGGTGTAGGATTTACTTTGAAACAATTTTCACTTGGCAAGAAATGGCAAGTAACACATTGAATTAAGCATTAAAAAATTGAAAAGGTATTTTCTTTTAAAACATACTCCAATAACCTTTGTTTTATTTATGACTTTGAATTCTTTACAGTGAGTCTATAAGTAGCTGTTGTTTAAAATGATAATATAATGTGCATAATACATTTTTTAAAGCACATGCACAAATAAAGCTAACAGTGAATTTCACAAGGAAATTTCTGGGTTTTATTTCACCCCATTAATCAAAAAAATAACCAAATTTTATTTTGATCATGAAAAAATGGTGTAATGGTGTAAAAAATGGTGTCCTTATGGTGTAAAAATGAAGCATTAGTTTTCATTCTTTTGAATTTCATAAAATATCCATAATATTTGTTTATGCAAAACACCATGTATCTATTTTTATTTTAGGATGACACAATTCATGATTCACCCGACAACATAATCTGTTTATTAATTCTGAGTCCATTATGGCAAACCTCATTAATTATTAGGTGTAGCTTTAGCAACAGCATTAGCAGAAGCGCACTACCTTCCTCCTCCTGCTCCTCTTCCTCATCCTGCAACTCCTCTGTGCAAAGCAGACAGAAAGCATGATGAGAAATGATCATGCATATGGATGCAACTGAGCAATGCATGCATGCAAAATACACACACTCTCAATCTAAGCCAGGACATACCATAGACTTTTTATATATATATATATATATATATATATATATATATATATATATATATATTTAACGCTATTTTTTAAAGAAGATCTGCTTTCTTTAGTGTGTATTGTTGCTGTTTGAGCATGAAAAAGGTCTGCAAAGTTCAAAAAGGTTATTCTCATTTCAGTGTCACTGTTTCTGAACTCCCTGAAACGCCTCTATTGTAGTCTCAATATTCCTATTTAAATAATTCATGCTTTATTTAAAGCTGCAGTCCATAGCTTTTTTGGGTTCAAAATTATCCAAAATAGCTTTAGCTGGATTCAAAGGGGTAAGCTTGTAATAATGTTTTTAACTCCAGTGGTACTGGTGGATTTCCGCGGGAGATTCGAGCATGTCTTTGCGTCATTACGTCACATCTGTACACACACATCTGTACACTAATCTGTACACACACATCTGTACACACATCTGTACACACACATCTGTACACACACATCTGTACACACACATCTGTACACGCATCTGTACACACACATCTGTACACGCATCTGTACACACACATCTGTACACGCATCTGTACACACACATCTGTACACACATCTGTACACACACATCTGTACACACATCTGTACACACACATCTGTACACACACATCTGTACACACACATCTGTACACGCATCTGTACACACACATCTGTACACACACATCTGTACACACACATCTGTACACGCATCTGTACACGCATCTGTACACACATCTGTACACACATCTGTACACACACATCTGTACACACATCTGTACACACACATCTGTACACGCACATCTGTACACACATCTGTACACACACATCTGTACACGCATCTGTGTACACACATCTGTACACACATCTGTACACACACATCTGTACACACACATCTGTACACGCATCTGTACACGCATCTGTACACGCATCTGTACACACATCTGTACACGCATCTGTACACACATCTGTACACGCATCTGTACACGCATCTGTACACACATCTGTACACACACATCTGTACACGCATCTGTACACACATCTGTACACGCATCTGTACACGCATCTGTACACGCATCTGTACACGCATCTGTACACGCATCTGTACACACATCTGTACACACACATCTGTACACGCATCTGTACACACATCTGTACACACATCTGTACACACATCTGTACACGCATCTGTACACGCATCTGTACACGCATCTGTACACGCATCTGTACACGCATCTGTACACACATCTGTACACACATCTGTACACACACATCTGTACACACACATCTGTACACACACATCTGTACACACACATCTGTACACACACATCTGTACACATAAAGAAGAGTCTCGGCTAGTAGGCTATGAGTGTGAGGATGTTGGAGGTGGAGATTTATAGCCTTTTCTCACAGCACTTGATATAATTAAACTTATTAATTTGATGGCGGATCCAGAAAGGTTCAAACGACGATCACCAGTGACAACAGATTCACCCGCTGTAAAATGCAAAAGACTTCGTTCAGACTTCGGAGTGGCTACAGAAAAAAGAGACTGCAACCGGACCCATGCGAAAACAAGGATAATATCGGAAGGACATTACATGTAGTCACGCAATGCTGACGTTGTTAACATTAACAATTTGAGAACAAAGTATAATTTGCACGGTTTTGCGTGATATGATAACTTATAAGCGATTGTTAGATTTAATCAGCGTGATTTACTGCAATGTCAGAACCAGAACAAAAGTAATTGTTTCTTAGTTCAGATGACATTTTCCGGTGAAAATTTTTATGTTGGTCATACTTCCAAAAAGTATAATCTGTGATTCTGAATGCCAGTATCCACACCGGCGCGGTGACTGACACACACACTCTCCTCAAACATTGTGTTCATCCGCACTGTGCCGTGCCGAGGCACAACTCACGTAAAGTTGATAATTCCGCGAATGACTGCAATTGCAGATTTCGAACAGAGATGGCGACAAAGAGGAAAAACTGCGCACTGCAGCTTTAAGTAATAAAGGGGCGGGGCCTGGTTGAGTTAGTTAGTAGTGTGTTGTTGCTATAGACACAGTTTTTTCCACTACGGTTTTAAAGCGGTTATGGTAAGGAGCGTGACATTTCCAAAACATACTCGAATGACCAATCACAACACACTGATCCAGCTGACCAATCAGAGCTCATTGTGCTTTTCAGAGGGAGGAGCTTCATAGAGAAAGGAACTAAACATAGCGTTACTGACAGACTGGGAAGAGAGGAGCTGCAACAATAGAGAATAATCAAGACTGAAGCTCGCTACTGGGGACAGTTTTGTCACCAAAGCATAATAAAACCCAAACACACACACATACTTCAGTGTCATTCAACTATTGCATATGAGTTGTTGTTTCAGGGCAGAGGAAGGAAATCGTGCCCCATTTAAGGATTAGACTCGTGAATGATGTCACTCAGTGTCCTTGCATAATGCAGTCCTGATCCTCCACCCTCCATCTAATCCACACATGAACACACCCTTCACCAGCAGCTCCTCTCATATCAGCTTCTGCTGCCAAACCACACCAAACCTCATTCTCCTGCTCTGATGTAGGGCAGGTTCAGGCAACACAGCTCAATACAGCTGGCACTTTTCAGGAAGATGGTTCAAACTTTTAAAAATCATGTTGTTTTTTTCGTTTTCAACAAATGATCAGTGAAAGGATGTGTTTAACAATCCGATTTATTTTTAAATTAAGAGGTTGTGTTAAAGGGTTAGTTCACCCAAAAATGAAAATTCTGTCATTAATGACTCACCCTCATGTCGTTCCAAGCCCGTAAGACCTCCGTTCATCTTCGGAACACAGTTTAAGATATTTTGGATTTAGTCCGAGAGCTTTCTGTCCCTCCATTGTAAATGTATGTACGGTATACTGTCCTTGTCCAGAAAGGAAATAAAGACATCATCAAAGTAGTCCATGTGACATCAGTGGGTTAGTTAGAATGTGTTGAAGCATCGAAAATACATTCTGGTCCAAAAATAACAAAAACTAGGACTTTATTCAGCATTGTATTGTCTTCCGGTTCTGTTGTGGATCCGCGTTCAGTGCCGCTGCTGACGTGTGTCTGGTGTGTGTGTGTGTGTGTGTATTCTGGTTCTGTTGTGGATCCGCGTTCAGTGCCGCTGCTGACGTAAGACGCTGCTGACGTGTGTCTGGTGTGTGTGTGTGTGTGTGTATTCTGGTTCTGTTGTGGATCCGCGTTCAGTGCCGCTGCTGACGTAAGACGCTGCTGACGTGTGTCTGGTGTGTGTGTGTGTGTGTATTCTGGTTCTGTTGTGGATCCGCGTTCAGTGCCGCTGCTGACGTAAGACGCTGCTGACGTGTGTCTGGTGTGTGTGTGTGTGTGTGTGTGTATTCTGGTTCTGTTGTGGATCCGCGTTCAGTGCCGCTGCTGACGTAAGACGCTGCTGACGTGTGTCTGGTGTGTGTGTGTGTGTGTGTGTGTGTATTCTGGTTCTGTTGTGGATCCGCGTTCAGTGCCGCTGCTGACGTAAGACGCTGCTGACGTGTGTCTGGTGTGTGTGTGTGTGTGTGTGTGTGTATTCTGGTTCTGTTGTGGATCCGCGTTCAGTGCCGCTGCTGACGTAAGACGCTGCTGACGTGTGTCTGGTGTGTGTGTGTGTGTGTGTGTGTGTGTGTGTGTGTATTCCGGTTCTGTTGTGGATCCGCGTTCAGTGCCGCTGCTGACGTAAGACGCTGCTGACGTGTGTCTGGTGTGTGTGTGTGTGTGTGTGTGTGTGTGTGTGTGTATTCCGGTTCTGTTGTGGATCCGCGTTCAGTGCCGCTGCTGACGTAAGACGCTGCTGACGTGTGTCTGGTGTGTGTGTGTGTGTGTGTGTGTGTGTGTGTGTCTGGTGCGCCCGAGCTTCGTTTACAGTCTGAGGGAGACGCACGCTGGAAACAAAACAATCTTCGCAAACATGTCTAAGGATTTCAACACAGCCATATTTATTTGAACCCGAATACACGGACGCACCAGACACACGTCAGCAGTGTCTTACGTCAGCAGCGGCACTGAACGCGGATCCACAACAGAACCAGAACACACACACACACACACACACACACCAGACACACGTCAGCAGTGTCTTACGTCAGCAGCGGCACTGAACGCGGATCCACAACAGAACCAGAATACACACACACACACACACACACACACACACCAGACACACGTCAGCAGCGTCTTACGTCAGCAGCGGCACTGAACGCGGATCCACAACAGAACCAGAATACACACACACACACACACCAGACACACGTCAGCAGCGGCACTGAACGCGGATCCACAACAGAACCAGAATACACACACACACACACACACACCAGACACGTCAGCGGCGGCACTGAACGCGGATCCACAACAGAACCAGAATACACACACACACACACACACACCAGACACGCGTCAGCAGCGGCACTGAACGCGGATCCACAACAGAACCAGAATACACACACACACACACACACACACACACACCAGACACACGTCAGCAGCGTCTTACGTCAGCAGCGGCACTGAACGCGGATCCACAACAGAACCAGAATACACACACACACACACACACACACACACACACACCAGACACACGTCAGCAGCGTCTTACGTCAGCAGCGGCACTGAACGCGGATCCACAACAGAACCGGAAGACAATACAATGCTGAATAAAGTCGTAGTTTTCGTTATTTTTGGACCAAAATGTATTTTCGATGCTTCAAAACACTCTAACTAACACACTGATGTCACATGGACTACTTTGATGATGTCTTTATTTCCTTTCTGGACAAGGACAGTATACCGCACATACATTTTCAATGGAGGGACAGAAAGCTCTCGGACTAAATCTAAAATATCTTAAACTGTGTTCCTAAGATGAACGGAGGTCTTACGGGCTTGGGACGACATGAGGGTGAGTCATTAATGACAGAATTTTCAATTTTGGGTGAACTA